AAAATGTCGACACAGTGTCTTAAATTAGGCCACGACCGTTTCCATCCCAATCTTCCTAATTCATAATACACAATTTTCTAATCGTCTGAGTTTATGTAGGTCGTGATACAAACGACCGTTAGATGAAGTTCACACACGTTAGGAAAACGAGAAGCCAAAAACAGAAAGCAGAATAATTTGCAGTATGACACAGTGTAGTCTTGTAAGCGTTTCTAGATGTTTCAGAAGAACGAACTGCCTCCATCTTCAGGGACGAAAAGTAAGTCAAACCAGCCAATAGCAATAAGTAAGCAATGATTATAATTATCGCTTCTTGATTGCTTCTTGTTGGTCACGTTTTAGACCATGAAGAAGGTGGAAGTACGTTCCTCGGTTATCTCGGTGAAATTCTATACATCTACAAAGTTTTGTCGTAAGCATATACTTGTATAAATTACTCAGATTTTAGTGAAGGGGAATTTGGAAATCAGGTCTTCCCAGAACTTAGCTCTGTATGAACGGTCAAACAGAATGGCTGCTCCTCTCTGTAACGAGAAGGCTGCGACACAACCATTCTCAGAAATTTAATTTTCCTTGTTATCCGGACAGAATACGAAGCCAAAAGAACATTTTCCGGTAACAATGAAAACTGAGCTACCTCGTTTAATATATTTTTTTTATTAGGTTCATTTAATTCTATTGATACTGATCGACTTTTGTCACCGTTTGATGATGGAAGTCATTTTTTCAACTCCTCGAATTTTATAACCGCTGAACTGGAAGAAAATGCGTTTTTCAGCCCTGCTAGAAACTACTGTGACCACTAAAGAAATTTTCCTTTCATCATTTAATTTAATGGAAGATTGGGTCTCTTTACGAAAGTGTTTAGGAGCAATGGTATAAATAATGCAGTAAATTTACTTTTTTCCTCCGTGGCCCTTAGTCCACAAGAGAACTGTACCGACCGAGCGACCGCCGCTTGTCGGCGAAGTTAGTGCCAACTTCTGTGGATAGAGAGTGCTGCATGGTCAGCGCAACGGATTCCCACGGCCATTAATATCGGTTTCCAGACCCGATTACTGGATTACAGTTGGCGGTAAATTTACAATATGAGAAATTATTATTAATATTATTAATTAATATTATGAATATTCTAACTAATTCAAAAGTGCGCTTTTAGTTAGTTTCACATTTAATAATTTTCTGCATTTTTTCAATAATAAGTTAAAAATTAGTAGGAATAAAACGAAAATTTCAAGACTTAGAAGGAAACTGAGCACTCTGAACAAATTCGCAAAAAGAAAAAATTACCCCAATTTCTGTGAGATATTTTCCAGTACAAAATTAAGTCTTCTAACTCAGACAATGGTCAGTTTTATAGGCCGACGTCTCTATCGGACATTGGAAGGAACTAAGAAAATGTTCACTATACAGATGAAACGCCGCTATCCGATCATTTGAGTAATGAACAAAGTAAAGGTACTGTTCTCGTACATGTGTGACTATAGACGGGGTTTGGATTCGTGAATGGATTAACTGACCACTTACAGGTCGTAACTACAAATAACTATAACACAATCGCTGATTTCCACACTTTACAGATCACTATACGCTAACATTTCTCCAGCTTGTACTAGACGTTTCTTGGTAACGGCTTCTGAAAATGGATATTTTTCCGCAGTGCTTTCACTAGAAGTTTCCTGGTAAGGGATATTAACAATGGCTATTCTTTTGCTTGCGTGCCAAAGTCCCGTACAGAACTAACTGCCAACTATCAACTAATATGTGTCCCATTTCTCTTCTTTATAACTCCTCGGAACGGACCGCGTAGGCAACACCGTTCATTCTCGTATGCTAACAGATTTTTTTATCGCGGGAATGTGTTTACCGAACCATTGCTCAGAAATTGTTTTGGTACAACCGCCCACCTCACGATTGTTGCATAGCAACGGCTATACACGCTACAATTTACTTTCGTAATTGGGAGAGGGTAAATTCAATTTAAATTGAAATCAGCCTCCATACTTTGTACATAGTCCTGCTCCTCAGGGCTATAGTTGTGATTATAGGTAAGTTTGTCGACCTGTGTGTGTGTATGTATATGTATGTAATTTTTTTAATGCTAGTGGGGTGGGACTAATTCCCTTGTACTGCGGCTATTTCTGGCCCATTGTACCAGCCCCAGATGATAGGTGAGGGTGATTGTGGAGCAATTGGTGGAATGAAGATTGGCAGGGGAAACCGAAGTACTCGGAGAAAACCGGCCCCAGCGCAACGCCACTTTGTCCACCACAAATCCCACTTGACCAGACCCGGGATCGAACCCGGGCAGCCGCGGTAGGAAGCCAAAGACTAACCGCTTGAGCTATGGCGCGGCCTTATGTACGTAAGTATGTATGTACGATCTGATACTACGTATCCAAGCCAATGTTGGAAGAAAACATTGCAGCGACTTCTATTTAGTCTTATATACTTCAACGTGCCTCATTTATATAGGTCTATTGTTTTCGGTTCTGAATAGGTTACTTAACACTATGAATGAAATAGACCCTTCCTTGTAACATTTCAGAATTCCATAATAGACACCTGTGTTTTAAAAAAAACGGAGACTAGGACTTAACAACGGGGATATTAAAACAGAATTTCAGCTTATGAAGGAATTGTAATAGCAACAGCTTCGAAAGTTTAAGGGCGACCTGTTGATATATTTCCCTCGTGCGTCATGAGTTTGACTTTATAAACAAATTGTTACATATTTTAAATTTACTTTCCTCTCTTCCTTTTCATTTTATCTCTTTCCCATCATGACAAGGAAGGAGTAGAATAGCGAGGAAAGCTTTTCTCTATTACAATATGTGATCCCTTCCCCCGGCCCACCTGTTACCCCGCAACCATTAGCAACAAAGTTTTTAGCATTCCTGGTCTGTGTGCGGATCAATACGTGTCGCAACGACGTTTTGCAACCAATCCCAAGCTCTGACGTCAAAGCATTTCTGTAGGAAAAAAAACTGTAGGAACGACGTTGCTTTCATTTATTCTCTCTTCTCTCTCTCCGTTTTCTGGTGTTATTATTCTTCTTCAGCCCCTCTCCTTGTCCTCTTTCCCACGAGCTGGGAGTTATTTCTTCTCTTTTCTTTCCTTCACTTCACCTTTCATTATTTTTCTCCTCCTTTGTAATCTAAGTTCTGGGTTACTTTTCTTTTGTAATCTAAATTCTAGGTTACTTTTCTTTTATGATAAGAGTTCTAAGTTAGCTTTCTTTATAACCTGAGTCCTTACTTAATCATATTTTATAAACAAGAATTCTGCGTTTCTTTCACTTAACAGTTATAGTTCTAGGTTAATTTCGTTGCATTAGAACACTTCTAGGTCATTTTTAGTTTATAATAGAAACTCAAGTTTACTTTTGCTTTGTAATCAAAGTTTTAGATTGTTTCTGTTTTGTAATCTACCTTATGGGTTACTTTTGTTCGTAATCTGAGTTCTAGGTTACTTTTTGTTTTATATTGTAATTGCTAGGTTGTGGCACTTTCTCTTATAATATAATTTATAGGTTACTTTAATTTTATAATTTAATCGCTAGGTTATGGCCCTTTCTTCTATAATCTGATTTTTATGTTACTTTCATGATGTAATCTAATTGTTAGGTTACGGCACTTTCTTCTATAATATGAGTTGTAGGATGTCTTCATTTAAAATCTAATTGCTGGGTTATGACACTTTCTTATATATTCTGATTTCTATGTTACTTTCGTTTTATAATCTAATTACTAGGACCTGGCACTTTCTTCTATAATCTGAGTTCCAGGTTACTTTTATTTTGTAATCTAATTAGTAGGATATGGCAATTTCTTCTATAATCTGATTTCTAGGTAACTTTCATTTTGTAATCTAATTGCTAGAATATGGCACTTTCATTTACAATGTAAGTTCTAGGTTACTTTTGGTTCATAAGAGGCATTCAAAGATTATTTTTCTTTTGTAGTCCAGTTCGTAACTCGGTTGGTTTTATAATCTACGCTTCAGGTTAAATTATCTCTCGTTTTATTCCTCTGTCCTTTATAAAAATGCATAATATATGAATACAAAACCTGAAATTCGTACATTGCGTCATTTTTCTTTCAATGTTACAGGTACTGGGATTTTGAAATAGAATGGCCAATCATGGCAGTTCAATGACCTCATCTCGCTACCGTATGGTATCTCTCATAGTATCACATAAAACCAAAATCTCTTAATATGACGATGTGCTCAGGATATCCTGCACCTTTATCGGTGAGGTAACTTGAGCTACTAAATATTTCATGCCGAACGAAATGATGAAAGGATGCGAATGGGATTCATCTGGCTCGAAACAGGGTAATCCCAGCCTGACCTGAAAGGAGTACTGAACATTCGGCTTCTAACAAAGACTGGAGATTTATTGAGCAGTTGAGGAACTATCAGCTTCTCAAGGATGACTTTGCAACGTGACGTTAGTTAACGTACTCGATGTCTCACAGCCGTAGTCTCAAATACTTAAAGATACAAATTATATAAAACAGAAATTTGTTTCACTACATTCTCTACTTTCTTAAGAACAAAAACATTCGTATTATGTTAAATTCGTAAATTATAATTCATGAATATTTAAGGAAGTTTAGATATAAATGTCTAATCTACTTGTCGAGTAGCCGGTCACAGTGGCTGCGGCGGCCTAAGGCATTAACCGTCTTCGCTCGCTCGAACTCTGGGTCGTGGGTTCGAATCCAACTCGAGGCATGGATGTATGTCNCTGTGTTTGTGTTGCTCTGTGTGTAGGTATCGGCCTTGACACGGGCTAATGCCCAGTCCAAGGAGTCCTGCCGACTGTGTATAGGATTAAAAAACTGAAAAAGCGGCTAAGGTCCAAAGGGCTGTGGACCCATAGAGAGAGAGAGAGAGAGAGAGAGTAAATAAATGTTAAGATATTCTGCTGAAGAAACAATAAGATAATATGTGCACACATACTCGTATTGAAACAACGTGTCTCTTGTTCACAGATCCATACGTGAAAGTGTATTTATTGTGTGAAGGAAAGAGGATTAAGAAGAAGAAAACAACCGTGAAGAAGGCAACACTCAGTCCGGTGTACAACGAGGCACTTGTGTTTGATGTTCCAGCAGAGAATATCGAAGATGTGAGCCTGATCGTGAAAGTAATCGACTATGACAGGTAGGGAAAGTACAGTCTTCTGCACAGATTCTGACTCGAATTGATATAAGAGACAAACATGTAAAGGTGTTGTCCCATTTTGGTCGTGAGTCACATTAACTGGGAACTGTAAATCTGTCACAAGAAATGAAATGCGCATCTAACTCGTTAAGTCATGGAGGGGGAGAGAGAGAGGGGGGGTTATAAATTCGAGGAGGACGGAGGAGTAGAAAAAACTTTACATTTTTACAGGGAAAACTGATGTAAATGTAATCATTCCGGTAACGGTATGGTGTAGAGGAAGTAGAGCGACGGTCAGTGGATTGCTTTGGTCTGAAATATGAGTCAGAGTTACTGTACGACTGGTAGTTTATCGCCAATTAGTTCGTCTCGACGCCAAGCCTCTTAAGGTTCAGAACCAGAGATTTTTTTCCAATTGAACTCTTGCGGTCATAGCCCTTATGTAGCACCCTCTCTGACGAGAGGATGCGTCTGTCGTTTACAATTGCTACTGGTTCTCGCCAGCGCAGTCATTCTCAGGTCCGTGTCCCGCGGGACTAACGACCGTATTTCACTGTCTCAGATTCAAGACTCCCCCAACCTTGAGGGCCAGGTCCCCGTATCTATACACCTCAGGAATAGGGTGGCCCAGTTATACCTCTCACCCCGGGCACTTGGTTCCCCTTTCGTCGCCCCCTACGACTGACAGGGCTACGGTGGAGGTATTCGAACCCGCGTCCGCACGTGGTCTGGAGTATGGAATTTATATAAAAAGCACTTAAAAACTGAGTTCTTATCTCACAGGAAACACATCAGCTCTGTTAAAACCCAGTTTCTTAAGATTGTTTAGGGAAGAAATCGTCGTTTATTTCTGAGATTCACGCTAGCCTAAATTCATGTAGGATCTGAGGTTCTCGCTAGCCTAAATTCATGCAGGATCTGAGGTTCTCGCTAACCTAATTTCATGTAGGAAATGAGGTTCTCGCAGCCGTGGTTTTGAAGATTTCTGTCTCCTGGGATATAACGCCATTTAGTCTGTCGAAAGTCAAGAGATGTTTCGGAGGACTCTAAAGATGGAGGCGACATGTTCCTCCGAAACGTTGCTTTGTCTTTCAGCGGACTACACGACTTTATATCCCGGAAGGTATAAGTGTTCAACGTAAATATATTATGTAGAATAAATACTGAGTTCTTTTAATGTTAAACCAGATTAAGCATATACTACACATTGTACTGTGGATCACTATAATCCATTTACCTATCGCAAGGTGAATTCGCTAAATTAAATTACGCTATGTTCAGGATCGGACACAATGAGCTGATGGGTTGCACAGCTATTGGTTCAAGTTTTATTGGAATTGGAAGAGACCATTGGCTGGAGATGCTGGACAACCCCCGCAAACCTGTTGCCCAATGGTACCCCCTACTGGAGACAGTTCCGGGGCAAATCCCACTCACAAACTCACAGCCACTACCGGTCAGTTTGAGTTGTCTCAACGGAAGGTAAGCAGCCTCTTCATCACATACATTATTCACCCATGTTGCTGCTGACGTCACGTCACAGTGCATGCATGCAAAGAGACTGGACCCTTGCTTCACGACGGTTTGATATTCGCCGGTTTCAAAAGTTTCTAGTAATTTCCTTTGTTTTCCCCCAAAGAGCCATTATTAGCCTCTTACAAACGAGCAGCTGGAAGATTTGGCTGGAAAACTGACTCTGAAACAGCAGGAGCAGAAACATGAAATGCCTGTTTTGCGGTCTATAGAAGCCCATTAGCTGCAGAGTATCATGACTGTGAACAGAGCTGCTTTATTAGAATCTGAGTCTGCTTCCACCTGCCATGACATCAAGCAAAGTAAACAACTTCTACTTTCTTAATTTAAAATGAAATCTGGAATACCTCCAACTGATCCACTGACGGCAGAACATGATCCAGTCGGATCTCACGAGTCAGCGCCAGGGAGTTCCTCTCGTCACTAACGCCTATCTATTGCGACTTGACGCCTGAGCGCCGGAGTTGTGCGGTCAGAGCACAGCTGAGACGTCCGTTGCTAGACAACAGTTACTTAATTACTTACACATGGAGCCGAGCACTTCTTGAGGAGCCGCCAATTCTGCAGCTACTCAAGAATTTTCCAGCATTTTATGGAACCCGAAGGTTCATTACCGTGTTCACAAGTGCCATCCACTGGTCCCTATCCTAAGCCAGATCGATTCAATCCATACCATCCCATCCTATGTCTCTAATATTCATTTTAATATTGTCCGTTCGCCTATGTTTTTGTCTTCCTAGTGATCTCTTTACTCCTGGTTTTCCCACCAATATCCTATATGCATTCCTCATCTCCACCATTCGTGCTACATGCCCTGCCCACCTCATCCTCCTTGACTTCATCATACTAATTATACTTGGAGAAGAGTACAGGTTACGAAGCTCCTCATTATGCCGTTTTCTCCAAACTCCTGTCACTTCATCTCTCTTCAGTCCAAATATTCTCAACAACGGTTAGCTGAAATATGTTTCCGCGGCAACGAATTCGCTTGTACAAATCGAAGTGTTGCCCGGAGATTGTCACACGTCTCGTGGGAACAGAGAATAACAGAGAGCAGGTACACAGACACAGCGACATCGGTCGTACGACGTCCGTAAGGTTCATGTCGCATCAAGTAGTACAATATAAAGTGTAGTCTTGGCTTTCATACGTGACGACATGTGAAATCTACCGTACGACATTCGGAGAGCAAAGAAATGTATCTGGTCGCTCTAGTGTGAAAAAGAGGTCGTACGGCAAAAAAAAAACGTACGACATTTTTCCGTAGACCGATGTCGCTGTGTGTGTTCCTGCCCAACTGTTCGACTTGATGCTCTATATTCGGTTCGCATGAAGGTAGTTCAGTCCGTCATTCGGACATCCAAAGAGAGAATTCGAAAGAATAGAGACTGTTAAAGATTCAGACAACAGTTGAGAGATTCGTCATTAAGGAGTTCAATGTGTGAGCTGCTGAAATCAACAGTAATTGTAATGGAGACGTCCAGTAAATCTAATCATCAAATCCATAGCCCACAATTATTAGTCACGACTATCCCTATTACGTGAAAACATTTATATTTTATTGTATAATAAATTGTGATATAAATCCATATACATAATATTTATGTTTAAAATATATACATGTTTGGTATTATTTTATGAAAGAAGTCTCAATTTTTGTATACCTGGAACACATCTCATTGAAATGCATTATAATTCGTCTTTAATTTACGCCGATTCGGTATACGACGGTTTATCCAGGAACCTAACCCCAGCGTAAAACAAGGGTCTGAAAGGTAAATACTAATTTCTGTTAGAGGCTGAGTGGACTCCAGGGCCATAGTGCAGCTGGAAGGATTAGGTAATTTGAAAAAAAATCCAATGACCTAATCGGGAATCGAAACCGCGACCTTCCGGCTTGTAACATAGTACCTCAACCAACTACGCTATCTCGTACCAAAACAATTGTCTGTTGTACTCAAATACTGAAACTTCGTGTCTCAAATCACAAACGTTGAAGTTTTGCAGGGATATTTTACCTTTCATCATAGAGACATAAAAATTTTGTACACCCCTGATAATCCTCACCTCTTCTGTACTTTCTGCTACAGCAGTCTATGTTTTCGTTTCTGTAGCAGAGCCATATAAAACCAACTTCCTCACTCTCTATCCGACCAAGTTAATTGTGCTTGTGCTTGGCTTGCGCTGCCTGCCTGGTCAGCGCTCCTGGAGAACTGTTGGGGTGAAATATTGTATGACTACGAAGCGATAATGGAATGACGACTAGTAGCGTCAAACCTAAGAAACTCGAATAAAGACCCACTCCAACACGATTCTCATATGAAGTCACTGGGGATTGAACCTGGGTCGTTGTGGCGTAAAATCGTTCAGCAGCAATAAAAAAAAATCTCGGTTCTTCTACGAACTTTTTTGTCCCTTCAGTGCCATTCATTATAAGGGCTGGAATAGCTAAGTCGGTATAGTGACCAGGCAACGGCAAGGACGACCGAGGAATAGGGGTTCAGTTCTTAGCAGGGTAACGTCCAGACCGGCTCTGGGGCCCACGCAACTTCCTATCCAGTGGATACCGGGAGCTATTTCAGCAGAGGTAAAAAGGGAAGGAGCATGGAGCTGACTATTCATCTCCATCTAGTGCCGAGGTCAAGAATGGTCGAGCTATACCTCCCCTCCGCCATACGTCTTCATGGCGTAGTGCTTAATTAATTAAGCCAAGGGATAATTTCACCTTTACCGTAATCCGTGCATTATAATTCGTCTTTATTTTTCTTGTGGGTTATTTTATTAGTCGGGATAGCTCAGTCGGTACAGCGACTGGCTATGGACTGGACGACAGAGGGGTCGGAGTTCGAGTCCCGGAAGGATCAAGAATTTTCTCTTCTCTACGTCGTCCAGACCGGCTCTGCTGTCCACCCACCCTCCTATCCAATGTTACCAGGGCTTCTTTCTCCGGGAGTAAAACGAGAGGGGTGTGAAGCTGACCACTCAACTCCAACTAGTGCCAAGGTCAAGAAATCGTGGATCTATACACCTAGTGCTTAATTAGTTAAGCACAGGGACAACTTTACCTTCTTACTTTTACGGCCTGTATATCGTCGAAAGAATAGATGATAGACGATGACTTGGTCAGGATTTGGACGAAAGAGTTTGAAGCTTAACTGAAGAAATTTCTCGGTTCGTCTTTATGATTTCACGTAATCTACTGATGTGACCTCTCTTACAACATATGCTTAACATTCAAACCGTAGGGTCATCACGCAATGAAGATACTTTGAGACGCAATTTCATACAGTGGTTCTTTATTTTCAGGTGAAGGAAGTCCTAATCACTCTGCGAAATGACTATACTTCCACCGTTCTAGGAAGTCCTGTACCACAGTTGCTCAAAGAAGTGATGAAACCTGATCACTTCATACGGAAACTTTTAAAGGATACCCTAACGTCCTTTTATAGCAAGTTTCTTAATCTACAAGAGATTCTTCTGGAAAATACTTTACCCATTCTCACATCTTGTCTACAATATCCTGATTTCCCTGTGGGAAATAATTTCATTTTCCCTGACGCTGGATTTTCCCTCGAAAGCATTAGCCGTATCATATAGGCTACTAATAAAATGTCCCCAGAAATCCATCCCTATATTTTTACTTCCCAAAGGTGCATATATGTTATGCTAGCTGGCTAGCAACAACCCTTCTATGGTATACAAATATATATAATATATAATATTTGAATGGTATTATATAAAATTAAGTTATATAATTATGATCATAATAATTGTACAATAGAAAAGATAAGTGTCTTATATTTATATAGTGGGTCGAATACAAAAACGCCCATTCAATGATTAATAAAGTAGGTATAAAATTTGGACAGTATTGCCACACGCATATTTTAATTATTTATAATCATGTAAATAAAAATTGTATTATTATAAATAATGGCAGTTCCATGGCGTTGTGTATAGAAGATAATATGTTATATATAGTCCTACAGCGTCTGCTTTTGTAAAATTTAATGGTAAATTTAATTCTAGAGTAATCTATCAGCACAATATTACGGTAATTAAGAGGTAGTCTTTCTGATCGGCATGAAAACCGAATCAAATTCTTGCTCTTTCCTGTCAAGGACAATGTTGTAAAGTGGTGAATGTTGAGTATATACATGTAAAAATGTCTCTTATGTATACACTGCCGTAAGCTCCTGTTCTTACTGTTTGACTTACCAGACCTAGGCAAGGGAAAACATTCATCTTATTACGTATCTGTCACAACATAAATTCCCATAGACGACAATTTACTTTAAATTATAAGTAAAAGTTCATTCTCTTTGACCAGTGCTGTTTATTTGAAATTTCCCTTTGTCAATATTAAATATTATAAACCTTAAACATAGTGGTTAATGAGTCATATATTTAATAAACCCCCCCCCCCCCCAAAACAGTCTCCTATGCTTAAATGTTCCCTTTTCGAGTTGTACAATTTCAACAAATGCGTAATTCCAAGTAACATATTACTTCCACGCTTAGAATTAGTTGTTTTCACATGCTGTGTGCAGGAAATTATCACAGCATAAATTTTACTTAAAAAATCAGATACCTCATGTTTTTTTCCTTCTTTCCTTTATTGACAATCATATTGTACAATCTATAAGTCAATGTGCTGATTGGTGTACAATTTAATAATATATAAAAAAAATGTATGCTCGTAGATTTCCACTCGCCCATTAAGACGGTAAACCCAATAAGAGAGAGAAATCGTTGTGTAAAACAGTCACCTATACAAACAGTTACATGTACCATGCATCCATATAAATTACACTGGGGTAAAAGTCCTAAAATCCGTTATATGGGCCGGGGTAGCTCAGTCGTTTTAGTGACGGGCTACGAACTGGACGGTCGATTTCGATTGTCTCTATTCCACAGCGTACAGGCCGGTTGTGGGGCCCACGCGGCCTCCTATCCAATGGGTAACGACGGGGTAACTTTCTGTTAGGGTAAAGCGGTCGGGGAGTGAAACTGACCACTCACCTTCATCTAGTGCCGTGGTCAAGAATGATGGAGCTATACCTCCTCTCCTCCATGCGTCTTCATGGCATATTGCTTAATTAATTAAGTACGGGGGCAACTTTACCATTACCGTAATTCGTTATACTTTTATGTAGCTACTGTAACAAAAATATTTATTTGTTTATAAAAGACAATTCTGACGGTTCCTGTAAAATGTGATAACAATTGAAATATCGTATAAATGCTTGGGGTATGAGGCAATATCAGATGTCTTGTTTGCGTAACATTCTTTGTGACACTTCTTCACGTGTAGTTACTGACAGCCACGGATCTCAACGGACTGGTCTGCCGACAAGTGCGAATAACGTCTGTAGACAAAATCTCTGTACATGACACGCTTCGGTTGCTTCCGTTCTTCGCTAATTGAAACGAGTTCGCGGGAACGCCGATGGAGGCGCCACTTGACAGCTATTTTACGACAGCTGCTTACAGCTACAGAGAACGTACGTATAAGCAGTGGTGTTTTCACCAGTGGGCACAAAGATTAAATCGCCGCCTGGAAATGTTTCACGGCCACATTTGCCATTTAGATTCACCGCTATCCCCAGACAAGGCAAATAATCCAGGATATGGACAACTTTATAATTTCAGTTCTGCAGTAATAATAAAACGGCTTGAAAACTAATCAAACCAAGGGTGTATGGTCGAAGCAATGCAAGGACTGGTTGAGAAGCTGCAATAAATTAACCCGTTTGCTGGGTCATATAAACGAATGCATCAAACAAAATTAAATATACGAAAAATACATAAAATCCTTTGATAATTGATTACTAACTTTTAATTCCTACTAGAACGGCATATGTTACGCCGGGTACAGCTAGTTACAAGTACATTATTTAGTCACGCCTACACCAAGAGGAACTAAAAGTTCATGATGTTGGTATACAATTACTGACTTTCTGTACATTGTTCATCGCCATGGTTTTTATTGAAAACGGCGTTTCGGAAACTAAGCTTCGTCTACCGGATAAAAGCCAATTTTTTTAGTTGGGCCCAATTAATAGAGATGGTCCCCATGGCAGGACCACATACCTGTATAATTACCCAAAATTTTCGTTCCCGTCAAATAACGTTAAATACTACCGTCTTCATGTGACTGATTGGCAATCTACCGATAGCATTTTAAGTCATCTGCTGGCAAATGATGTTACGTCAAACAGCAAATAAAAGTGGCAAAGTAAATGTCCAAAATATTGTAAATACATACAGATAAATTCACATAAAGGAGGAAATTGGTATGTCATTTTTAAATCAACATCCTCTATAAAATGATATGTATATTTTATGTACTATGATTTAAGAATGCAATATTTGTATTTTCCTACAATACGAAATACTGTATGACTACTATTCTGTTCGCACTTTTAATGTGTTGATAACAAAACAATATTTGTTATCAGCTCGTGTGCCTCTTGTGTCAATAAATGTAGTTCTTGTTGAAAATTTTGTTTCATTAATTTCGATCACCAAGTAAACTGAAGTTTCCACGACTCGTGTTAATAAAAACCGTTCTTTTTTAAGCGTTTGTTATGTTAATTTCAAATTTATTTTTAAATTATTAAATTAATTGAACATGTACATGGTAATATAACCTAAGTATGTATAATGTATGCCAATGACAGCGGCCGCGCGGTCTAAGGCATGAACTGTTTTCGCTCGTTTCAATGCTGGGATCATGGGTTCGAATCCAACTCAAGGCATGGATGTCTGTGCGCGTTTATCAGTATTTGTGTTATTCTCCGTATATGTAACGGCCTTGCGACGGGCTGATCCCCCGTCCGAAGAGTCTTACCGACTGTGTATGGATTAAGAAACTGAAAAAGAGGCCAAGGTCCACAAGCGCTGTAGAGCCATAGATAGATAGATAGATAGATAGATAGATAGATAGATAGATAGATAGATGTATAAAGTAAGAAGGTAGACAAATTACATTAAATTCAGCCAAATTTTGCTCATGCTAGGGGCTCAGTTGATGTGGGCCGCTGCTATATGAAATTAGTAGCTGAAGTGAGGGATATTTTCGGAACGTCCGCCGCTGGAAGCTGCTACCAAGCAACAACTAATGAAGACTGTAAAGACTGAGAAGATCTAGTGTGTCCCATAGTGATTGGTGAAGTGTAGTAACGAGTTGTATAAGTCTGCAATAAATCCGATTACCAATCCAAACCCCGTCTACAGTCACTTTATCACGTGACAGTGCAGACTCTCAGTAAGAACTTCCATCGAGATATGCGAGTAGTTGTACAGATGAGGCAGCGAACAATCAGCACGACCGCTCCATTACACCTTGATTTCTTCTACTTTTTCGAAAATGTAATAATATTCCTGATGCTGACGATGCTGATGGTGATGGTGACGATGACAATAGAGAGGAACGTCATTTTCTCATTTACGTATAAGCAGCACGCATCCTCAAGGACATATATCAGAAAAGCCTACAAGTTAAACTTTTCACTGTTTGAGGCAACTTTTGCTTTATATAAGATACGGTTTCAACGTGCAATACAGCATCTCAAAGCGTTTCTCCTTTTCGATTTAGTTATTAAGACCTAAAACAGGCGTTAATGAATCTAAAATTTTAATCGTTCTCTTTTTATGACCCAAAAGCATTTCATGAATGGCATTTGACAATTTTCGCAATAGGTCTACCTCAGCATATTACACGATCCATGATATATATACGTAACATTTTCTTGTAAGTGCAATAAAAAAACTCCGTGGCCTGTAGTCCGCAAGCGATCTATACCGACGGAGCCACCATCGCTTGTCGGCGAAGTACCAACTTTTCCGGATAGAGGGTGTCACGTGGTCAGCGCAACGGATCCCCATGGCCGTTAATCTCGGTTTTCTAGACCGGAGCCACTATTTCCTTGAAATAGCTCCTCAACTATCCTCACGAGGCTGAGTGCAACACTTAATATATTATTAATTAAATACAACTTTATATATGTTTAATACACAATTCACAACATCATATATGCCTGATGATGGCCTCACATGGCCGAAATATGTTGTAAAATATATATATCAAACATAGGCTAAATGGTATTTAACCAATAATCTTATAAATGTTTACTTTAAGACTGTATTGCGTACATATACAGTGCGTACAATCAAGTGCGCGCCGCGGCTGCAATTTGCCGTGAGTCATACCACCGCAGAACGGATGCAGTCGATACCGTGCCCAACTAATGCAATAAGCTGTTCAGACACAATACTGAACGATCCTACTGAACTGTTCATAATTTCGATTGATACAAGCTTCCAGACTATGATTCCTTTGTCTTTCGGAGGGAAGAGTTAGTTATGATGGTTATGATCCTGTCAGCAGCTAGACTCTATACCGTTCAAGGTCATGACGAAAGATAAAGTGTGAGTTATAAGGAATTTGGAAGAAATAATCGAGGTACTAACTCTGAAAATTCCTGAAGGTGCTGAGGTAAACCATGAAAATCGTCCGTCAGCATCGTCAGCATAGCCATGTCCCGGCCGACATTCGAACCGAGCACTTCCTGAATATGAGTGTAGGGAGTTACCGCTATGCTTACCTCTCGGTCAAACTGAGTTTCGTCCTATGCCAACTGCATATATATTTTTGTGAAGTGTACATGGCTACCTTCTGGAAATAAATCTAGTTGTGACGTATGAACAGTTTCGGTAAAAACTTTTACTAAGTTTTGCGTTAATTTCACTTTAGTTATGATGATTATGATCCTGGCAGCAGCTAGACTCTATACCGTTCAAGGTCATGACGAAAGATAAAGTATGAGTTATAAGGAATTTGGAAGAAATAATCGAGGTACTAACTCTGAAAATTCCTGAAGGTGCTGAGGTAAACCATGAAAATCGTCCGTCAGCATAGCCATGTCCCGGCCGACATTCGAACCGAGCACTTCCTGAATATGAGCGTAGGGAGTTACCGCTATGCTTACCCCTCGGTCAAACTGAGTTTCGTCCTTTGCCAACTATATATATATTTTTGTGAAGTGTACATGGCTACCTTCTGGAAATAAATCTAGTTGTGACGTATGAATAGTTTCGGTAAGAACTTTTACTAAGTTTTGCGTTAATTTCACTTTGCATGTGGTCTAGTTTCGCCACATGCTCTTTACCACGGAGGCTCTTCATGGGTTAATCACTTTGAATTATAAGAAGTGATATGATTCTCTAACAAGTAATTCGATTAACAAAAACAGATTCGCATAAAAATGGCCAACACAGCTGCCCAACTACCGCACTCCAGGCAACTCGCCTGTGTTGACCTTCCCTCCCTGTTGCAGTACAACTGCTGTCAAGCGTAGCTATGTTGCGTCCGTCAAACGCGGCGCACCTACAGACACGATAACTCCATCCTTTCTAATGGGCTCATTGTAATATTAAATATATCTACAGCATAAATTATTTATGGGTTGGTAAAGTTAAAAGTCCTATTGTTATAACTCAATTTTATTGCAAATGGAGATTTCATTTGTCGGATATGAGATTCTCACATTGAACACAAAGAAGAATACTATCTTGTGAGATGTAACGCTGTGTAGTCTAGTAGAAACCCACCGACGTTTCGGGGGGAACGTACTTCCTCCATCTTGTATATCGAGGAGTAAGCCACGAAAGAAACAGCAAGAAGCAGGTGGCAAACACGCAACGTTACGATCGTGAAGATAGGGGCAGAGTATAGTCCTGCGAAACGTCGATAGGCTTCTACTGGACTACACTGTGGTACATTACTAATGGCGTTTTCATGTGTTTGCCTACAGAAGCTTAGCCAACATCAAGTTTCGCGAAAATATAAGAGTATATACCGTAACACAATAAAGAAGCTCGAGGGGGAACAATACCCCCTCACTATGCGTTCATTTTATGTACTTCTTTCAAGGAATGTGTACTACTACTACTAATACTCGTAATAATAATAACTCCGTGGCCTGTAGTCCGTAAGCGAACTATACCGACCGAGTGACCGCCGGTTGTCGGCGAAGTTAGTGCCAACTTTAGAGGGTAGAGGGGGTTGCGTGGTCAGTGCAGCGGATTACCACAGCCTTAATCTCGGTTTTCTAGACCGGAGCCGCTATTTCCTTGAAATAGCTTCTCAATTATACTCACGAGGCTGAGTGGACCCCGTTCCAGACCGACTACTCAGAAAATCTGGTATCACCGGGAATCGAACCCGGGACCTCTGAATCCGTAGCCAGGCACTCTGACCACTAGACCACAGAGGCGGTCATAATAATAATAGTAATAATAAACATCTAACCAGAATAGATCAGCCGGCATAAAGACTAGGCTACGGACTATAAGGTCGGAGAACCGGGTTTTGAATCCCAGCTGGGGCATTGGATTTTTTTCTTCTTCACATCTGACCGCATCTGACCGACTTCGGAGTCCACCCAGACTTCTGTCAAATGGGTATTAAGGATTATTTTCTCAAGAGTAAAGCGGCCGCGGCATTAAGCTAACCATTCCCAACCAGTGTACCAAAATTAAGAATGTTTATATTTATACCTTATCTCCCTCATACGGCGACATAACGCAGTGCTTCATTAAGCACATGGAGAATATTACCTTCTTTTTTTATTATAACAATGGCAACCCACAGGAACCTTTAAGGAATTTTGTTTGTATAATTAATCTTACCTTTATATGATACTGTTGTTCTTATGTCGTGGAAGGTAACTCTGCAACGGGAACCTATACGTTCACAATTTGAACACCACAAAATATCTGCTGTCTGTTTCTAATGTTCAATTACGTTACAAAGTTCAGAGATGAAAGCATGAACTCATGGTACTAAAACTCTAAACTAGTATTTTTTGTGACCCGAAACACTTGTAATTGATATTTGACAATGTTCATTTGGCTAATCATACTCAATGATACGTTGAACTCACAATGGTTTCATCGTAACGGAGTTTCGTTAAAACTTAACTGATTATACTTTTGATAGTCAAATATGTCTGTCTCTCAAAGACAACTGCATTACAGTACTTACTTGTGTTTCAAGAAGTCCCTCGTGAAGCTCGTGAATGACTTCAAAATGAGCTTTTGCTAAGTTTCACACACGCCACATTCACTCCTCGCGTCATATAGTATCATTACGCCATATTTCACTATGACCTTCCTTCACCGAAAATTACTTTAAAAGCGACATAATTTAAACACAAGCAACCAATTAACAAGTAAATTAACTACCGCTACGTCACTGCCGGTTACAGCTATACATCCACCCCCGCTCAAACCAGCGAAAAATGACCCCCCACCATGTAATCCTATTTGTTCAAGCCTGCCAAATTAACAAACCACGACGCTCATTTGTCAATGTGGCGTGCCTACGGAAACCTTCACTCCCACACGTTTGTTACAAACTACTTAACGCCATATTGTATCAACACGACAAGCTGTACGAAATAATTGTAATAAAGCAGTGTTGTTAAGTGTACCATGTAAGACAGCAATTTACTTACATGTTAATAGTAGTACTGACCTCTACTCTCACGAAACTTTCTCGCGTACTTCTCAGTGCCAGCTTCATTTGTTTATTTGCATGTCCCTGCATGGCCTGCATGAAGCCTAGAGAAATTGTGAGTCCCGTAAATGACAACAGAGTAAAAAAAAAATTATTATTATTGTGAGTATATCATTATAATAAAATACAAGTTAAATTCAGTATCTGGCCACTGGCAGCAGATCCCATTTATGTTAAAACTAAGACTGCATAGGAATAAAAGCAGCAAGCGAAAATGTGATCTAGCCTCAGAATTTAAAAATATGGGAAGTATTTCCGCCATTAATCGTTTCCCATCTGTTTTCATTGAACGTACCCTCCAACAGTATTCTACAAAATTTTGGTTACAGAAACATACTATGCCGCTATCTATAAACGCTTTTCCCATCTGTTTTCATTGAACGTACCCTCCAACAGTATTCTACAAAATTTTGGTTACAGAAACATACTATGCCGCTATCTATAAACGCTTTTGTAATATAAAATTTACCTCAGACTTTCGCTTAAGTCTTCATTGGTGTCAATTATTTTAACGGTTTGTTCATCAATTTAATCTGCCAAGTCTATATTAGGTTCCGCATATACACCATGTTTCTCATTCCTCTGAGTAGTGATGCAAGGGCAGTACAGAGCTCTCTGACTGATGGATTTACTATAATCGGTTTCGATGCACAGTCGAACACACATCTCCATATGCCCTCAGTTCTGACCATTCTGACAATGATGCACAGAGATTCTGCCATCAACCACCCACCACAAATCAGTGAAGTAATATCAAGTATATACAAAAAGAATGTAGAAACGTAGGACTAAAAATAAACAATGAAAAGAGCAGAAAAGCAAAGAGAAAGAGAAATACCATGAAGGAGAGAATGAAGAAAACAAGCTGGAGCAATACAAATGCAAATAAAAATTAGCTCATGAGAAAACAGCTAAAATAATTGATTCTCACTAATCTTCATACAACAACCGACCCTCCATCCCCATCAAGACAACTTGGGCTCAGTGCCTCAAGAAGACAATAATACAAAAAATGCAGGGTTATGAAATTTGGTTACAAACTTATATATTAATCCACTTGAGAATATTTGTATGGATTGCGTTTTGTAATCTGGACATAAAAAATAATTCCAATTTTTGGTTTAATATTTTTATATTTCCTTCTTTTATTAGGGGGATGGAAGATGCCTGGCTGGTAACTCACCCTTACACACCCGCCGGCACCCATTGACAGGTTCATACTTCATTGAGTCATAGACGTAATCTTTAACTGTAATATGAGTTAAGTTTCTGTCTCAGTCAGCATTGTATTAGAGATGGTTCAGCTAAACCAGTACTTAAATTCTGTATTTCAGCATCCTGTTGCAATGGATGATAATCAGTACTTAAATATTCAGAACAGATCAAAAAATATCCTGGCAGCTAGTATACCAAATGGAGTGATAAACCTGGCTTCTTTTTCATTGTGGAAATTAAGTTAATGCATATGTACCGAACAAACAAACCAGTAGTTAAAGAAAGAGTACTGTATTCTGGGATATAACGCTGTGTACGAACTACACCATAGTTCCCTTCACGACCACAGATGTGAAAACCTCAAGTCCTACAATAGTTAAAACTTTTGACAGCATCCCCCAGCTTTCATCAGCTATGTTAAATGTTAAACATACTTCTACTAGTTTTAGAAGACCTGGAATAGCTCAGTCAGTATAGCAATGGGCCATAGGCAGGCTAGCTGAGGTTTTGTTCCCTGTACAGGCAAGATTTTCTCTTCCCCTTAACATTCAGACAGGCTCTGAGGCTCACCCAGCCACCTATCCAATGGGTATTTGGTACTATTTTTCCAGGGGTAAAGTGACAGGGGAGTGAAACTGCCCACTCACCTCCACCTGTGTCCTGAGGTCAAGAATGGTGGAGCTATAACTCCACTCCTCCCTATATCTTCATGGCATGGTGCTTAATCAAATAAGCACAGAGAAAACTTTATCTTACCTTTTATCTGCTTGTTTTTTTTTTCAAAGAAAACATATTTGTATCTGTGATGAACAGCATGAATTCTGATGTAAAAATTTACATAGTTACTTATTCTGTTGAAAGACAGTTCTAGTAACTTCACACCCCTTCCTTCCATGTGATATCATTCTGACCTTGACCTCAGGCTTTCCTTTTGGAAATTTTCAAAACCTTTATGATTCTCTCATTGTTTGCTCTTGCAAAGTGCCAATACATCTTATGTTGTTAATTATTAATTTTTTGGGACACTGAGTAGTGTAGCTGGTTGAAGCACTATGCTACAAGCTGAAAGACTGTGGGTTTGGTTCTTTATGAGGTCAGTAAATTTTTCAGTTGACCTAATCCTTCCAACTGCACTATGGCCCTGGGGTCTATTCAGCTTCTAACAGAAATGAGTACCAGGAAACTTCCTAGGAGTAAAGGGCAGGCAGTGTGTGAGGCTGAAGTCTGTGAGCTGACTGTCTAGAAAATGAATGTAGGAGCCTTGACACCTCAACAACTCTATGGGCCTCCATGGTCTGTTACAGGGATAGCTTTACCTTTTTTTTGGTAGATTTATCTTCAAATTTCCCCAAATTCTTCTTTCCTTACTCTCCTGCTTTTTCATCTATACTTCTTCAAAATCTCATTTCAGCTTCTCTTAATCTGCTATCCCTAATATAATCATCATGTATAATCAAATCAAAATCATCTAGAACATGTCATTTAAATGTGAATAAGTGATTATAAAATTAAAAAAAACTTCATATTTTAAGAGTGGTATAAATAACATGCATCTTAATTTAAAATCTTGGATGAATTGCTACCCCAGAAACTTTTCTCAGGGCATTGCGGTACTCCACATAAATACATGATCATTCTAGAAAAATTATCGTGAACTTGATAACCTACAGAAAAATTATGTTTCTTTACCTTAAAATGAGCTATGTTGACAGTTAAAGCAAGTGTCAAGTAACTCTGAACAAGGCCAAGAGTAACCTTGAATGCACGGAAGAAAAATTTCAGACAACTGGCGGCCTATCACTTCTCACACCCTCAAACCCACCTCCTTGTCTGAAATTTTTCTTCTGCGCATTCAAAGTTACTCTTGGCCTTGTTCGAAGTTACGTGACCCTTGCTTTACATGTTATATAAACTGTAAATAAATTATAAAACTACCAAGTACAAAATGCTTTAGTAAAATCTTATGTTAATACAATCACCTTCATGTTTTTGTTCCAAAGGACAATCTTCAAACGTTTGTTATATGATGGTTGCCATATTCTGTTTCTTTAAGTTAACTGTATCTCATGACAGTACAATGGGATGTGAGGCAAATGAAATAAATGATAGATTACAGAGCATTTTGTATAATAAAAACTCACACATACTTCAAAATACAATAATATATTATCAACACACTTTTATGTACAAATGTTTAAAAAGCACTCAACTTTCTTGTTTTGAAATGGAATTCCACTTAGTATATATATACACACACGTAGCCTAAAATTGACAGAAGATAAAGTAAGCAAATTTTAGGCTGGTCGATGAAGAAGTTGTATTTATTCAGTTATATAACCCAGTATGGGTAAATATTAAGAGGACCATGCAAGATATGTAGCTTGAGTGTTCACAGATCACTCTTTTTAGAAACTGCTGCACACACCTAAGTGAGGGGCTGCCTCTTCCTGAGTCTGGTCCATATCACAATGTATATATACAGCACGACAACCACTGAGCCATGTTTTACACTCTATTAAACTTAGTACAGACAGAATACTCTGTATTAGAATTGCACTAATCATATGGTACAGAATTTCAGAATTATCTAACAGTTCACATAAATGGTAAGGCTGAACAGGTTACCATGTATAAAGCATAAGTCTGCAAGAGCAAGAAAATAGATGTGGAGTTTTTTCTGTCAACAGTAGCAAAGTAAAATTCCAGTTTCTTTACACTTAACTGTACCATAAAATACTAAACATTTGTTTTGACATGTGGCCATCAATTTGTTAAGCACTGTTTGTCAACAACTGTTATAGTCTGATGGCTGCTGCCAACTTCTCATAGACAATAATCCAGCAAGATCTTTAATTGCTTCTACAGCTTAGGAATTCATAAAAATATAATTTCTATGCAACCCAGAACTTCTGAACTCAAACATCTGCAACTTCTAACTCTCTGAGCTCCTCTATGACTTCAGAAGCATCTGTAACATTTGACAAATACTAATGGCTGCAACAAGCATGGTCCCCTGTGGGATTCTGTTCATCTTAACTAGATAATAATCATCAGAGTCAAAGTCAGGGACTTGTCTATACACAAGAAACTTGAATTTTAGAGTTTCTTAGACTTGCAACAGAAATTTTCCTGATGAAAGACCAAGCGCACATAAATGTACTCATAACTGCCCACAAAAATTAAGTGAAATATTCACCCAACCCAAGTCACAGATATTACAATTACAGTTCCTGAGTTCTCCATGTAATGCACGTATCTGTCCAATATGTGGCTTCAGTAACTAAATGCCAATGTAGAAAAACTTCAACTTCTAGAGCCAGATATTCCTCTCTGACAGTCATAGCACATTACTTGGTTCAGAGAACTATATTTACAGGAAAAAAAGAAGCTTAACATAATCTCTGCACAGTGAAACATATACTAAACTGAGTGTGCAGAGCTTGTTTGGCAAAACAAGAGATTAAAATCTGATGAAAAGCAGAAAAGGCCATGTGATCTGAGGTTTTCATGGCAGTGATGATTTCAGACCATCGGGTTAAGACACCATGTGGTCTGGTTTTGAAGTCTACTGCCTCCATCTTCATGGTATATCTATTATGAATATGGAGTCAGCAGGTTCTCCCAAAACATTGGTAATCATTTATCAGGCTACATAATGCCATAACTCAAAAGATCAAAATCTGAAAGAGAAGGCCATTACCAGTTTGAAGTTGTTATATCAATCTTCCAGCATGTACAAACAGGTACTGCAGCTGTGTGAAAAAACATATATCTGTAGTCACGTTCACACTTACTTGGGAACAACTGGTTATTTAATCCTTTAAATGCTCTGTTATAGTCATAAGCATGAACATAAAACATACAAGTTTCAAATAACCAAATTCATGCAGTACAATTTAATGAATTCATACAGAATCATGCTAGAAGCCATCATATTAACATACTGTCATGTATGTAATGACGCATACAGTTAAGCATATGACTTTAAAACAGCCATAATATATTTTTCCACAAGTACATACTTTTCAATGAAAGCAATTGTTCCCTTGACACAAGGCTCAGTGGTCATTATTAACTCTCAAGTACAATGAATGAAGATCAACATATCGGTATAAATGATGAGACAGAAAAAACAGAAGGCATATGGATAAATAAATACAGTACATGTATCAACTTGTTTCAATGGCCTCTAGCCTGATATAGCAGTTCCTGAACATGAGCAGGGTGGAACATTTTGGTTCCCATTCATACATTGTGTAAGGCATCAATGTGGCTGGACCAGAGGACATCAAAACTATTACCTTCTAGCAAACGAGAGGGAGGGGAGGGGAATGGAGAGACATGACCAAGGTAAGTTCCTTACGTTCTCTGCAAAAGTAGCTTTAGAACTTCATTTTGAATTCAGAATCTGTATCAAATTTCAAGCAATTATTCATTTACACAGGAGATCTGCATTGAATGCAACTAAAATCTAAATTCATTCTACATTCACCTTATTCCTGCAGTCTTGTGTAAACAAACACCTTTTTTTTCTTTTAACTTTAGCACCAAAACAACTCAAAACTCATTTGATTTCATGTGAATTATGAGTTTCTGGCAAGAGGCATGGTCCATGATCACAGTTAAGATATAGTTTTATGCTCTGTGCTTGCATTTCTGCACAGAGCTCGTAGCACTTGGAGAAACAGGGTTTCACTTTTCCTTAACTTTCCAGGATACAAAATCGTAAGAAGTTCAGTCTTCAGGTTAACTTCATGCTCAGCATGTACAGTGTCGATCATATAAAGAAGACTGGTGACAGGCCATGATTGGGAAACTTTATATTTGTTTTTAAACTAAAATGATAAAAAAAATACAGCATTAAATAATAATAATAATAATAATAATGTAATTAACTTCCTTAGCTGCACCAAAGCACTGTACAAGATAATATACATACCACAGTTACGTTTTGTTTCACTATCAACACGAGGTGCCAGATAAAATATTTCACACAAATAAATTTGCATATAAATTGCATATTGTAGCACTTCAATCAAGAAATAAAATTATATGACTCTTAAAATAAGATATTTTCTGTACTGACTGAGATTTTTTTAAAGTAACACAATGTACTTAGTTAATATCGGAGTATGGCACTAATCCATACGAAAAATGCATTGGCTATGTTTCAGGGTAGAGCATGGGAATGGCCAGTGTTTATAACCCAATGTCTTTAGCCCTTGGAGACACTCATAAATACATGGCACAATTCAGTTTATTTTGATCACTGTATAAAAGTTCTGCTACAATTCTGCTTGCTCGAACTGCCAAGCACTGCACATGTCACTGAAGACCTTCCAAAAAATACTTTTTATTGTCATTTTCCATAATGAAAACTCGTCTATCTAAAATTCTTAGCAATCCTGTAAGAACCTCATAAGCCCTACATACTTCATTTCTTTTTGACATCCTAAATGGTGTTATAATACTTCAGAATGATAGAATCATTTACTGTCATCACAATCATCATCATACGTTTGTTTCCAACAGCATCCAGCAGTAACTACATAGGGCTGGTGGTGAAATCATGCAATGTGATATGCTTGGGTCAAAAGTCACCTATTACCAGAATAGATGGTTTCTGGTGAGAGACCTCCTGTCACACTGAGGTCTGTGTAATTCCTGTTGGTACCCAGTTTCGCCGATGGTTCAGCTTCTTCAGTTCAGAGCCCTCGCATTCTGAATCATCCAGATCACAGAGATTAGCTGAGAGGTCACTATTGCTGGTACAACCTCCAAGTAGAGAGGCTCTTTCTCCTAAAACTGTAATGACAGAGCTATCTTCATCATCATGGTGATGCCGTCGGCTACTTGGGAATCCATAAGGTTCAACATCATCTTCGTCATCATCGGAGTCTTCATGATCACCATTGGTCTCTGTTTCACTGTGGATGTTGTAGCGTGGAAGGTAGGTGTTGGGGTGACGTAAATAGCTGCCAGCTGAAGGGAAATGGAACTCCTGCTCACTACCACTTTCCCCACCATCAAGGAGATTGTTGTGATGCAGATGATGCAGAAGACTTGGGCTCCCACCTCCCTCACCATATTCAGTGCCACATTCCGAGTCACCAACATACTCTGATTCTTGATCTTCATTTAGTGTCTCGATGTCCCGTGCTGGGTCCACAGGTCCAATCACTGTGGCATAAAAAACATAAAAACATTATACAGTTCCAGTCTTACTTGCTCATGGAGCTGAGCCCTTCTGGAGAAGCCGCCAATTCTGCAGCTACTCAACAATTTCCCAGCATTTTATGGAACCCAAAGGTTCATTATCATGTTCACAAGAGGCCTCCACAGGTCCCTATCCTGAGCCAGATCTATCCAATCCATACCATCCCATCCTATCTCTCTAAGATACATTCAAATATTGTCCACCACCTATGGCTTGGTCTTTCCTGTGGTCCCTTTCCTTCTGGCTTTCCCACCAATATCCTATACACATTCCTCGTCTCCCCATTCGTGCTACATGACCTACCAACCTCATCCTCCTTGACTTGATTATTCTAATTATACTTGGAAGAGAGTACAAGTTATGAAGCTCCTCATTATGCAGTTTTCTCCAACCTCCTGTCACTTCATCTCTCTTCAGTCCAAATATTCTCCTCAACACCCTCAGTCTATGTTTCTCCCTTAATGTCAAGGACCAAGTTTCACACCCATACAGAACCACAGGCAAAATTATAATTTTGTATATTCTAATTTTTATGTCTTTGGACCAGTCTTACATATGTGAAAAGTAATACCCCATATGGTCATAAGACAGCAACCATACTGAAGCTGAAACAGAGGCTGTCATCTGATTCATGCTGGCTTCTTGTTTAACTTTCTCTTCAATGCTGAAGACAGAGGCAACATGTTCCTCCAAAACATCAACTGACTATGACATTTATCCCAGAAAACAGAACTCTTCACACCCTCTGGTGAGAACTTAAAATCTACATCTTTTTAAGTTAAAAAAATATTACAAATGTTATGTTTTTGGACATTATCCATCTTTACCTAAAAACACATCCTGTTTATTTTTAAAAACGCAACCTTTGGAGACTGGATTCTGTCTCTGTCTTCAAGTAAAACCTACTCAACTGGGCCCAATCAATAGAGCTAGTCCTTATCTCTGGACACCTGTGCCAGCACTAAGGTGCAGTATACAAACCAAACACAGCATAAACCATCTGAGAGAGCTAAGAAAACATTAAATTATTAAAAACTCCCCATGTATGAGGTACTGCACCAGAGAACTATCACAACATAACTCATCACTGGAGTGAAGCAATACTCCTTATGAACACAAGAAAAACAAAATTTTCCCACTCAATCTACAGTTGATGGAGTTGTAGTTTCTTGACTTCTGCTGTGATAATGGAGGTCCATATGGGAGAGATGTCCAAACTGGATTGACTGACTGGATGATCCAGCAGAGACATGTGAACTGATTTCCTGTATTTCCTATACATGGTGATGGGCTTAATCTGCAAGACCTTCGCTTCCTTCCAACATACAAGGGTAAGTCAATAAGTAAGTTACAAATGGATATAGAACTTAAACAAATAACAGTACTGATTTGAAAGAATGCTATTATTTCTCAACATAATCTCCCCGTACATTGAGGCACCTGTCCCATCATTTCATAAGCCCCTGAAAACCAGCAGCATAAAATTCTTTGGGCTGCTGTCGGAATTAGGTGACTTCCTTTTCTACAGCTTCATTGTTGGGAAAGTGTTCAGCCGAAAGATGATGTTTAAGAGGGCTGAACAAATGGAAGTCGCTTGAAGCAAGGTCGGGGCTATATGGAGGATGCTCGAGGACTTCCCACTTGAAATTTCAGTGTCTCATATTCCTTCTTGGCAGTATGGGAACGCGCACCATCACGCAAGAGCAACACGCCTTTGGTGAGGAGTCCTGGTCACTTCCGTTGAATGGCCTTATGAAGTTTCCTGAGGATGTTACAGTAGAAGTCGGCATTTACATAAATGCCGACTCCTACTGTAAGATCCTCAGGATGTAAATGTTCCCTGTAACGGAAAGTCACCACTTGGATCTGACAGCAGCCCAAAGAATTTTATGCTGCTGGTTTCCAGGGGCTTCGGAAATGATGGGACAAGTGCCTCAATGTACAGGGAGATTATGTTGAGAAATAAAAACATTTTTCAAATCAGTACTCTTATTTGTTTAAGTTCTATATCCATTTGTAACTTACTTATTGACTACCTACACATTTTGTGGCCTTCCTTGTATACATGTTGGGCTAATTTTTTTATTTTACAAGCAAACCCTGTGTCAGGTTACGTTTGTGCTCCTTAATGCATATGTCTAAAGCTCTGCTTGTTTCACTAATGTAACATCTGCCACAATTAAAAATAATATATTTTTGATAATTTGAAGTCAGCACTGTGGTCTTCTGTGTTATGATGTCATGTAGTCTTATGGGTGAATACCAACATTTAGAGAAATGTGCTTTTTCAGGGTATGCAGAGTAAAGAATCGGTTTATGCACAGGGTCAGACTGCAAGGATGGAGGTCACCTGCCTCTAGAACCCAACTGATTCCTCACTTAACACACTCTGAAGATGAAGATGAAGGTACCATGTTCTTGCAAAACATTGGTATCCATCTACAAGAATATATGATGTAGAAGTCATATGACTACAATCAGTCAATGCCATCAACATTTCAAAACTATCTAAATTTTAATACGAGATTCTCAAGTCAGTAATTATAGGTCTGGTGAAAGTGAACTAACATTTGAAAGGAACCTATGACCTCCATCTTCAGGAGTGAAGAGTAAGTCAAGCAAGAAACCAGCATTATATCCCAGATGCTGTACGTCATAATAGAAAAGTTTCTTGCTCTTACAAATCACTGTTTATACCCATATCTGTGAACACCTTTACTCATTTATGTTTTAGTATGGACAGCCTATTAGATTAACTTCTATTTGTTTTAAGGCTTCAGGACAGTTCACTGAAGTGAATGGTTAGGGGTTGGATGACTGGAGTTCTACTAATTCTCAACAGGGGCCAGGGATTCCTTTCTTCATCACCAAGCCTACTGTGACTGTACTCAGTCTCCTGTCCAGTATACACTGGCAGCTCTTTCCCTGATTAGGGCATTAAGTTGATTACATTTTTCTTATTGTATATTAATGACTTACCCAAAGTAATAACAAATAATGCGAAGATTATTTTATTTGCTGACGATACTAGTATCATAATATCCGATTTGAGCCCTCATAATTTGGAAATTAATATGAATAAACAATTCTTAGCCATAAACAAATGGTTTGAAGCTAACCTGCTATCCTTAAATTTTAATAAAACCCACCATCTCCTGTTCAGGACTAAAAATAGTTTGGTAACAGACATAAGCATATATCATCAAAATAAGAATATCACTAATGTGCCAAATATTAAGTTTCTAGGTATTTATATTGATGAAACATTATCATGGAAGTCTCATATTGATAAATTAGTAATTAAAATGAGTGCAGCTTGCTATGCAATTAGAACTGTAAGAGGTCTCATGTCACAGGAAACCCTAAGGATGATCTACTTTGCCTATGTGCATACTATCATGGAATATGGGATAATTTTCTGGGGTAGCTCAGCAACTAGTATAAATGTTTTCAGAATGCAAAAGCGGATCATTAGAACTATTATGAATGTAAGAACTAGAGACTCATGTAGGGAACTATTCAAAAACCTAAAAATATTACCAATGTACTCACAGTATATATACTCTATAATTCTGTTTGTTGTAAATAATAGAGACCTATACAGTTCAAACTATGAGACCCACAATCTTAATACTAGACATACCACAAATTTGCACCTTCCCACATCACGCCTAACAATCTTTCAGAAAGGACCATATTATTTTGGTATTAAGGCTTATAACCACCTGCCATCCAGAATCAAGAGTATGAGTAATGATGTGAAACTATTTAAACTGAGGCTAAAAAGATTTTTTCTTTCAAATTCTTTTTATTCCTTAGAGGAATATTTTAACCATGTATGTAATTAAAATTGGTAATTGTACCCCTGATATGTTATAATTTTATATCATTACCTAAGTATTTTGTATCAATTATTGTTTTATAATTTTGATCATTTTATGCATTGTACTTTAATATAAATCTTTTAACTGTCTTAATGACAAAAGTATGTATGTAGTTTTTGTATTTTGCGTATTTTAATCTATTAGCTTGGGACAAATTCCATATCCACTGGTCAGCTGTACCATAAGGATCAACGGAATGTATAAATGTAAATAAAAAAATAAATAAATAACTCACTTCCATCTAGTGCTAAAGGTAAGAACCCTGATGACATGATACTTAAAACAGGAACAAGTTTCAAGGCTTATATAATTAAAAAGTGGAATATATCCTAGAATTATTACCAAACATTTGAGTATAAAATCATTGCAACCATCTACTACAAACTCCGTGGTCTGTAGTCTGCAAGCGAACTATGTCAACTGAGGGACCCCTGCTTGCTGGCGAAGTTAGTGCTAACTTTAGCAGATTGAGGGTGTCGCATGGTCAGTGCAACGGATCCCCACAGCCATTAATCTAGGTTTTCTAGATCGGAGTCACTAATTATCCATTCAGGTAGCCCCTCAGTTATCCTCACGAGGCTGAGTGAACCCCGTTCCAGACCCACTAATTCTCAGAAAATCTGTCAGCACCGGGAATCGAACCCAGACCTCTGCATCTGTAGCCAAGAACTCTGACCACTAGACCACAGATGCAGTCAACCATTTCCTACTAAGTATGAAACATAATACTGAAGTTTCTAAAATATGAAACAACATTAATATGTACCTTCATTCATCCTGATTCTGTTGAAGAAGTTCAAGTTCTATCAAGCCTTTGATTTCATCCAAAACAAGGACAGAAATGCATCACTGAATTGTGTGACTATCAGTCCATATTTCTTCCTAGCCTCAACACATCAACTGAAGCATTCAAAGGCAAAAGGGTGTAACAAGATTTTTGTGTGCACTGACCTGGTGGGAGGGTCATATTGCCCTGATGTGTGTTTGACTCATTACTCTCATTGCTGTGGAAACTTGAAGAATCTGGCACCTCACTGCCTGGCACCTCAGTGATGTTTGGGAGAGGGTTCTGACTTCTGTTCACCCAATCTGAACAGTCCCAATGGTAACCTGAAATATCACAATACTTTATGGCTCAAGCAGTAAAGCTTCCGACTTGTATTCAGAGAAAAGCCAATTTCAATCAGCTGTAACACTATCTTGGCTGAGGATTCTTGTGGTTTTCCTCACTCCTTCCAGGTAAATGCTGGTACTACACTTTAAATTAGGTCATGACTGCTCTCTTCCATAATATCCTTTCTATTTCATTACTCACTATCACCCAATCATTCATTGCTACATAATCTAAGCTACTGATGTTGTCATTAAGCAAACCACAGATAAAACATCTATATTGTTTATGTTATCAATGATGTTCAACATAATTATGATTATGGCAGATGGGTGGTGGTGGTGGTGGTGGTGGTGCCGCTGATGATGATAACAAACATAACAACAATCTGCCACCTGAAGCCAGGAGTAGAGCCAATTCCCAAAATACTGAACATTACAAATGCTCATGTATGTATCACAGACAGCTGATATCTTCACACTCTTCTCCTCTCAGAGTAAGATTTAATGTTTCACACCCATTAAAAACAACAGATAATTTTATTATTTTAATGGTTATTTTGATATAAATGAAAGGCGGCAGAAGGATCTTCTTAACAGAAATAATATCCCAAAAATACAACCAGAAAATCTATATGAACATATTACATGAATAATTAAAGTATAATTATCTCAGTAGGAGGTTTTAATTTTATTCATTATTTTGGAGAAACAGCTATTGGCAGGTGAAATACTGGTACTATTAGTAGAAATATACAAAGTATAGAAACTTCTGTATATTTCAAGAACAAGCTTTTGTACACATATCAATGACTGTACCGACTCTCATTTAAAGAGATGTTCACAGAATGTTTCACTTTAAATTCCCAAAAGTTAAACATATGAAACTAAGAGTGGATTACTATCATAGTAAAATATTTCATGTTATGTACATTTTCCCCCCTTCAAGAGAGAAGAATCAAGTTTTGAAACACAATTCCTGAGAATTCTTCAAGAAATAAAATCCTGGCTGTATATAAATACAATGAGAGAATAGTGGACTGAAATGTCTGCTTGAACCACCAGATTATTATTTTTTCATACTAATAACATGTAACTACAAGAACAAAAACACTTCCCAAAAATTCATTCACAGGGAAAAACTGCAAATTTTGCTAATAAAGAACTTAATAAATTATGAAAGAGTTAAAATAAATTCACGCCAAGTACCATGTTACATTAGTTATAGGTACTGTGCATTCTGAAACGCATTTGTTATCATGCTTTCAAAGTGCTGTCACTCACAACAACCATGCTTCAACTCAGACTAAAATTGGAGCACATCACTCACTGCATAATACCTACCACCCACAAGACGAGGATCATCGTCCAGAGAACTAGTGGAGGTGACAGAAGTGCCCCCTCCCTGCAGAGTCCCTCGACCTAGTCTGCCAGTTGGTAGGATCATTCCTCTTGATGACAAATCCATAACAACTGGATGTTTCAAGTCTGAAACAATGCAATACCCATATTATTAATCTCTCATAAATAATTATATTGTTTATACAATTACACACAAAAACTAGTGTCCTCACAGTTTTTTGCAGATCTCTTCTTAAAAAGTAGAATGTTTTATGTTATATACAAATGAAGGCGAATATCTGATGATCAAAACAATATTTAAAGGCAGTTTATTGGAAAGGAGATAGCAACAGCAGAATAATGATCTGAAGATATACTAACTGAAGCAATTAATGTACAGCATAAACATGAATTCAATGCTTATATAAGGTTAAGGTAGTGCTAAAAGTAAAGAATATTTCTTTCTTATCACATTACTTCTCTACAATTGCTACAGCTTATTATTTTGATTCCATAGCCAATTCTGGTTCATACTGCTGTAATATAAAGATGAAACTGAATAATGTAAGTAAGATTTCAGGTTTTCACAATAATGTGAACTCGATATAAATCAAACAATAAAACTGAATATGAAAAATTATGTAAGTGCTTGTGTATGAGTGTTGCAATATGTGGGAAGAAACGTTTTCCAGTGATGAGGATCATTGGAATATATGCATAAATTCCTTTATTGAAGCAGTCAAGTACAGTAACCTGCAGTTCATGCAAATGACATACCATGTGCCATGCTGAAGCAGATGCATGGCTCATATTTGTCTTGAAGCATGTCTCATTTGTTGGAAATATCTTTGTTATGATTAACATACATCTAGAATGTAATTGTTTCTAATTAATTTGAATAAAAGAAACACTGAACTCCTGGAGACCTCATTCAACAGATAATTTGAAAAGACCTCTGAGATTTGACACACAGTGAATTTCTATATACACTCTATGATTTTACTAACTGGCTATACTGATATATATTTTAATATTAACATTAAATTAAAACAAGAACATGTAAATTCATGAAATTATTACAAGTATATCAATCAACTTACCTTAATAATACACAGTGATGTACCAAGTAAATTCCTAACAGCACACTCTTTAGCACTATGAAGCACTGACTAATAATAACAAAAACTTAAGGTAATAACAAAGAAGTTACAATTCATATAAGCGCTACTATGTAAGCTGAGTAAGCTCAAGCAGGTAGGGTGACATCTCACTTACCATTCTTGATCTTACTGGAGTCAGAATAGGTACCCATGTGATTGAGGTCGGTAGTGTTGTCAGCCCAGGAAGGTTTGTGGATGCTGTCCGAATCACTGGTGGCTGAGGTGGGAGGGGGTAAGGATGAAGGAGCAGGTGGCACTATGGGTGGGCTCCGATTCAAGTTACGTAGATAGTCAGGGGGAACATTCTCGAGCTCGTCGCCTGCTGAGCCATAGCTCCGCAAAGTGTCCAGATTGTTGAGCACTGCTGCAGCCGAATGGCTGTAAGGGGTGGGCTCGTTGTTAGAGCTAGGGGTGTAGGAAGCAGGGCGGGGTGGACACTGGGGGGGAACCTGCAAACAAAACAAATACAACAACACTCAGAGAAAAACAAAATCAAATAATAATAATAATAAACGATACGATATGACATCAGCAAGGAAAAAAAAAAGAGCTGGCAGAAATAACAGCATGCAAAACAACTTTCAAGAAGGTAAAGAGAGAGAAAGAGAGAGAGAGAGTGACAAGTAT